CAGAAAAACTATTTTCCCATTTTTCAGAAATAGACTTCTTCCTTGCCCAATAGGAACGTTATCCTGATGATAGTATTAAATATAAGGAATAAATAGAACACATTTGTAATAACAATTCTTAATATTTTTACAGTTAATTTCTTAATTTAAAAGTTCGATCATGCTAGTGCTGTAGTGACATAGTTCTCAAATGTAAGTTACAAGTGAGAGGAGTTCAGTGACTTTCAGTAACATAAGCTCATGAAATGTGAAGCTAAAGCTTTTTAACTTTATTACCATATACATTTCCTGTCCATGATCTAGTGCCCCTTCACTAAAACTCAAATTAGTTTGGGCTTGTAGAGTGTGTGCGTATGCACACACACATGCCTATATGTATGTGTATGTATAAATAAAAAAAGCTTAAAATTATAGTGTTGAGTGCTTGTTTTGAACCTGGTACTGTAGTGTGCCATTATGAGTTGCTAGTTTTAGTTAGTTAGAAACATAAAACCAAATGCATTTCCATTTCTGTTGCAGGTTGTGGTTATTTTTCTTTTTCTGGGTTTACTTGGGCTCAGTCTTTATGGAACTACTCGAGTGAGAGATGGACTGGATCTCACAGACATTATACCACGGGAAAACTGGGAATATGATTTTATTGCTGCACAGTTCAAGTACTTCTCTTTCTACAACATGTATATAGTGACGCAGAAAGCAGACTATCCCAATGTCCAGCACTTACTTTATGAACTTCATGAAAGTTTCAGCAATGTGACACATGTTTTGTTGGAAGAGGATAAGCAGCTTCCCAAAATGTGGTTGCACTACTTTCGAGACTGGCTGCAAGGTAAGGGAGGATTGCATGACCTTTTCTTATTTTAATTCTACAGTAGGAACCACTTGTTCACTGTAGTAATGATCTCCTCTTCTGATACAGCCACATGATGAAAGTCTGCTAGCAGCAGGGAGAATGCCCAGGTACTGATCCAAACCGACATCAACTCCCTGTTTCTCCATCAGTTCACTTAAATTCTTTGTGGCTAAGTTTAGTCCCCAATAAAACAGTTTTGAAGTTTTAAAAGATTATATCCATGAGAGGCCATTTCATGTCATTAATTTCTACACTGCTAATGAGGAGTTCTGCTTTATAATTAATGGCCAAATATGGCCCAATTTCTTAGGAAAATAACAATAATACTGAGTGTTTTGAGAACAGTAAATGTGAAGCCCCAGTCCAGCAATGTATTTTGGCACAGGCTTAACTTTCAGCATGAGTGATCCTGTTGGCTTTAGCTGTGACTGCTGGTATGAAGAAAGTTCAGTGTGGCTTTGGCTTTTTATTGGATTGGGAGTTTACTATACATTCTAGATTTCCAATCAAGTATCCTCACACTTTCTGTGGTGCTGTTTTATCTGTGCTGAACTATAACTGGGTGTGGGGAGGGGACGTTATAGGTAGTATGATGATAAAGTGGGCTTATTAACGTTATGCTATTATAATTATTCATATTGAGGCAAATAATTGTTTTGTATTTCAAATAAATAATAATGTTACATCTCAGGAAATTTAGCAGTTCTCTATTGTGAAACACTTTCTGCCCAGAGATATTTCAGTCCTACCTCTGTCTTTCTGTTAGAAGAATCTCTAGAAAGCTTTGGCAACAGAAGAAAAAATCGTGCTGACCTATTGAGAATGTAAATTTTAACATTAACTGTTTACAGAAGGCTAATGCAGCCAATGATGCTTAGAAAACATGTACATAACTGTTAGTATTTGGGGTATTTTCTTCTTCTGAAAATATGTTGGGCAATATTAGGAAAGCTGAGGCCAGAAAGTGACATGCATAATAAGCAAAATGATCAAGTTTCATGTGTATTTAATATACTCATAAAACAAGCAGAGCAGGATTTTAGTTATTCGTTCTTTTATGGTTTTCAAATATATTGGATCCATTCGTTAAAGTCTTCTTACTGGAAGGTTTACTTAAAATATTTTGCTCACATAAGCATATTCAACTGTAAGAGAAGGCAATATGACAGGAAGAAATTGCATCATAGCTTAGATGTTTTACTTCATTGGAATCTTTCTACACTTTCTAGATCTCTAAGCAAGCATCTTCATGCATTCTACAAGACTTGTCCAATTTCTCTTGTAACTCTAGTGTCTTGTTTATTTTTTTTTCTTTTTTTGGAGGGGGGATATTTTAACCAAAACAATAGGAAGAAATGCAGCAGACGGTGGGCTGTTTGTGTGTCGTTCCCCTGGCAGCCCCCCCCCCACACACACCTGTTGATTACACTCAGGTTCAGATTTTTTTATGAAATATTTAGGTCTGTCTATGACAGCCCCCCCCCTCAAGAGTGGCACAATTAATACAAAAGAGCTACTTTCTAAAGACCCAAGACCATCTTTACAGAGTTTTTTACTGATTTTACAAGACTGGATGTCACCCTGTGCCACGTGCTCTAGGTGTCCCTGCTGGAGCAAGGGGGTTGGACCAGATGATCTCTAGAGGTCCCTTTCAACCTTAAGCATTCTGTGATTCTGTGATTCTGTAATCTTATCTCAAGTTTCATGGTACCAGCTGTTCAGATGGGTCAGGAGGAATTCCTTCCTCACCCTCAACCCAGCATCCCACATAACTTTGGAGGATTTCAATTTCTTCTGAAGTATCAAGCAAAAGTCACTGCTGATATGAAAGGAAGTCCCATATATAGTGCTTTTTAAATTTAATTTGTCTTCATTTATATAACTTTTGTGTAGAAAGGGGTGGACAAGTTACTTTTTCTGACCAGAAACATTCATTAATTTCAGTTATCTTTAAAATAGATTAAATGCCTTAAAGTCATTGGTGTGAACAATTTATAACAAAAATAGTATCTACTTTATATCAGTAGCTCTGCTATTAATTTCAAAGTGTTATAGGAAACTTTTGTTACTGAAATGTTGAAAGTCTCTACAATTTAAGCACAACTGATGGTGGTTTCTTGGTATTCTTTCCAATCTTTCAGCTTCAGCAATGTACAAGCTCAGTAATAACCACTTTACACTTTAGGTCATTTTAAACCAGCTGAGAAATAAAGATAGAAAGGGGAGCTGGATTTGAGAGATGATCGAAGTTGTAAGAACTGGAGCATACATTGGGGTGGGGGCAGTGAAAGAACTGAGTTACTACCTTTTGTAGTAATGTAAAATGTATGCACCCTTTTTTAAATGTAGATTGCAAACATAAATTGGTAATTTTGCCTGCAAATGCATATATTTGGTATTCGGTATTTGGTCTGGTTAGCCTTGAGACAGGAGTTGGTTATTAGACTGAAAGTTCTGCCCCTGAATATGGTCTAACATAGCAACTTGTGTGCTACTCTTACTAAATAAAGCTGCTTTTATTGTGACTTAAAAGTTAAACTGTTCTTTGGTGGTCTCTCATTCTTTCTCACATTCTTCTTCAACAGCTTCCTCTTAACTCCCAAAGTCATCTTTTATGTGACTATTACAATAGCAAAAATGCTCTCATGTAGCCACTTTTGAAGAGGCTGAAACAGAATAAAAACATCTTCAGAAAGGACAGATTTGTATTTTTGCACTTCCTCAGTTGTTTTCCCCACACCAAGGGCTCCAACAAACCAACAAACAGCACTTTCTTAAAGGGGGCTTTGAACTTCCTGCAAGGTTGTCAAAATAATCATCCTCTTTCTGGGCAGGTACTGGCAGGCTGCACGTGACAGGTTGGTCTGGCTTATTTCACTGCTTTGTTCCAAACCTGCTGGCTTTCCAAGTGGGTATAATTGATATATATATATAAATTTAGAATGATATAGCAGGCAGTTTTCTAATGGTGGGGAGGGAAGAGTTTATAAATGGGAATGAATGCTCAGGCCCTGAGGCAGTATCAGTTAGGCCATGTTTTCTCTTCCAATACCATTATATCCTTGCAGCTGTAGCTAACCTATCAGCTCTGTGTTTTTCATTACAGCTGCTCAATGCAGCTGTGAGATGGGTTGGTGATTTTTACTACCACTACCCCCTGGCCTTTTTCTTTCCTTCCCTGGACAAGCAGTTTGTCATCTGTTCACACAGAGCCTCCTTGTGCTGGGCTTTAGCTTCCTGTGCTAATTCTGATCCAAATTTGTGCTGTGAAGAAGTATTTCCTTCCCCTTAAAGGATGGCAAAGAGGAAAATAATAGTTGAGAGTGAATAGGTATTGGCTGGGATCTATACACATGCTGGCAGCAGATCCCATGACTTGCATTAGCTGTGCAAGTTAAACAATTGGAACAAATTGACAAAATTGAGTTCACTCACACTGTGCTCAAGAAGTAGCTGAGTTGCTGTTTGAAGTTGGAGTGTGTTCTTTTTCCCTACTTGTAGTGAAATTGCTGGTTATATCATAGATGCTGTTGACTCTGTAGCCCCAAGACAGTTAATGAGAAATGAGAGCAGTGTGTGTCCTTACCTGCTGCAGCTTAATGTGCTTGGCCTTTTTTTTTTTTGAGACTTCAGCTTTCATTTGGGAAGTATATATATGGAGGAGGTGATAAATGCAAATATGACGTTAGATTTTGAGTATGATCATTCTGGATTTGTGGTTTGTGAGAAAAAAGCACTTTTTTTTTCATTTAGACATCCTTGACGCTTCCTCGCATAAGTCTACAAGCAGAGTGCTTGGTTGCTTTCTCATATTCGGCCTTGTTCTGAGGCAGTGACGTGGCTATGACAACTCAGGAAAGACTTGGAGAAGGACAGGGGACCTGAGAACCCTAATCTCATCTGCACTGTTTCCTTTGCTGTGAGAAAAAACTTGTTATTCCAGTGCATCTGTCCTTTGATAGCTGTCCTTTCCTGGTCAGCATAACATGGGAAGAGTCTTGACTCTCCTCCCTTGCACCTTGCTTTATCTGCCTTCTTCTGGGGGAAGTACTGGACATGCAACTGATAATTTTATCTTCCAGTACACTTGACTGTGAGGTGAGGAGCCCAAATGTAGGGTACATAGTTTTCTCCATGCTTCAGCTGTAGAAGGTGACAGTTTATATTAAAAAGAATCATTATTATTGTTTCTTTCTACTGAAAATTGTTTTAAAGATTGGTTTCTTATCTACATGTTTTATCTTCCCCATGCCTCTCTTCAGGGCTTCAGGATGCATTTGACAGTGACTGGATAACTGGAAAAATCACTTACAATAATTATAAAAATGGATCTGAAGATGCTGTTCTGGCTTACAAACTCTTGGTGCAAACTGGCAACCAAGCAAAGCCCATTGACATCAGACAGGTATTGTATTGGAGTTCATACTGGTTTATACAGGAATGCACAATCCATCAGGAGTGGGGGGAGATGCAAAAGAGCACGGCAGCATCTTTTTGTTTTCATCTTGAAATGTCTAAGTTATACCTGACAGCATGGCCTCATGGGCCTCACTAGAGCTATACATTAGCCGCAGTCTGGGCTGTGTTGCTAAGTGTTCAAAATCAGCACTGGGGATGCTTGTCTGTGGTCATTACTGACTGGCATGTGTTAAATGCTGCTTCTGTCCTATACACACTCAATTTCCATTGAAACTTATGTGAAAGATGCTTCTCTGCATCCACAGGTAGATGGAACCTGATCCCATGCCAGACATGCAGCTAGTGTTAGCCTTGTTGCTGTAAGTGGCATCGCTTCTTACTTGAATGAAATTTGCTTATGAGTTTCACCTTAGCTCATCCTTCTGCAATGACTTCACATTTGCAATTCTTTGGTTAGTTCCTATCAATTTATTTCAAACGCACATTTTTTTAGAAAGGTGTTTATGAATGATAGTGAATAGAAGCGGGCCGAAGTAATTATATGCTTTGTGATATTCTTATATTATCATTATTGAATATGGATATACTGTAGTAGAACTGAGAATGGTGGTTGGTTGAACTGCCAAGGGCCCTGAAAGCAAAGCTCATACTGAAAGGCTTCTAATCTTTTGATTTTGCAGGTGACTAAACAGCGTCTGGTGGATGCAGATGGAATCATTAACCCAAATGCTTTCTACATCTACCTGACAGCCTGGGTTAGCAATGATCCTGTGGCTTATGCTGCCTCACAAGCCAGCATCCGGCCTCACTGCCCCGAATGGGTCCATGACAAAGCAGAATATATGCTAGAAACAAGGCTGAGAAGTAAGTAACATTTCATCTTAATGTTTTACAATTTATATAAGTGCCCTCACTCCTTTCTTCAAGACCCAGTAACTCTATAGTTGGTTGATGCTGCACAGGGCTCTGAAGCATAAACAGAACAATATATTGTGTTACTCTGTAAACTCAGGAGATAAGATGTTTTTGTGGAATACAGTGTAATGTGTCACCATTGCAGGCTTTTCTCATGTTGAAAAATGAGTTTTGTAACTGTTTCTAGCAAAACTATAAAAATTTGTACTAGACATTGGGTTTTTTTATATCACCTGTTGGTTCTGTATGTGAGAGAAACCTGGAGATTGCATGAAATTCTTGCCTATGTCATTTTGGAACTTCATCACTGAGACTATATCATGTTTATCCTCAATTTGTAATATGCAAGGAAGTTTAATAAAGTTATCTTATACATATATGCCACCACTTCTGATATGGTGGCAAGAGCTATTTAGGTAGGGGAGCAGCCTGTGTAAGTGGGTATTCTCCCTCTGTCCCTCCTACTCTGTGCCATTCACTGTTTTGCATCCTGAGCAGTAATGCCAGTTGGCTGTGCTCTGCTTTGGCTCTGGATTTATTGGGAGGATTGCTAGTTGGACATTGGTGAGGAAGGGGAGAGGGGATGTGAGGGAGGACTTGTGCTCTTGGAAGTGTAATTGGATAAAAAGCTAGTTGTGTTTCAGTGTATCCAAACCCTAGAGCTGTGTGGCAGTCTTAATGAAAATTTATAGCTGAGATCAAAATAGGGCAAATCATGTTTAGCAAGTCAACTGAATGACCCTGCAGGGTCTGGAATACACAGTGGCAGTAACAAAATGCTTGTTGTGAAAGCTTTTTTTTCTCTCTCTCTCTTGTTTCTCTCTCTCTCTTGTTTCTCTCTCTCTCTTGTTTCTCTCTCATGGTACAGTAGACTTAGCATTACACTCAAAAAGAAGCATGAAGAATTTACATTATTAAAGGATAAAAGTTATGTATTTTCTTAGTAAACCATTACTTTTATATTTTCCCCTCTTTTTGCTTGAATAATAGAACATGCATTTGTGAATCTAGCTTTAAAAATATTTAGTAGAAATTTTAACCAACAGTCCCAATTCAACATAATTTTTCTCTAGTTTTATATCAGTGAAACATGATTGATCTCAGGGAAATGACCTTTGATTTCAAAGTAACTACACTTGCATAAACCAAAGACAATTGGATAATTGTTCATTGCCATTTATTTGGATAAAACGTTTAAGAAGATTTCTCTTTTATATTGCAGATAGGAACTTTCAACCAGATATTTAATAAAAAGCACTTACAGCACAGATGAAGATTTTCTACACATTGGAATAAATCTAGTTATTGGAATATATCTAGTTGTTAAATTACATAAAATTGTTTGGGGACTTCATATAGAGTGTGTTCATCTCATTGCACTGCATGATAAAATATAGTCATGTCCTGTACTGAAAGTTTTTAGCATGTTAGTTGTTCCAAATATGTAAAATTTAAATTCACTGCCTTTAAGCATTTTTGCTATGGAGAACAAAGTGTCCTGTTAATTGCACTCTTTGTGGATCTCCTTCTTTCCAAACACACATTTAAACGTTGCTGCCTTTTCCTAGTTCCAGCAGCTGAGCCCATAGAATACGCTCAGTTTCCTTTCTACCTCAATGGATTGCGTGAAACTTCTGACTTCGTGGAAGCTATTGAGAAAGTGAGAGCTATCTGTAATAACTACACCAGCTTGGGGATTGCCAGCTACCCAAACGGTTACCCATTTCTATTTTGGGAGCAGTATATTGGACTTCGTCACTGGCTCCTCTTATCCATTAGTGTGGTTTTGGCTTGCACGTTTCTAGTGTGTGCCCTCTTCCTCCTGAACCCCTGGACGGCTGGGATCATTGTAAGTTTATTATAAGGGTCTTTGTTGAAGTCAAATTCCTTTCAGCATAGCTTTTGCTGCAATTGGGAAGGTTTTGTTAATGTCTGGGCCTCTGGTGGAGTATGTATATTGCATTATTCATTATATATTTATTCAACTTAAGGGGGTAGGGTTCATGATAAAGGTACAAACCTTAATAACCTTAATCCTTTGGCCACCTTTTTGTAGCTTTGAAAGTTTCTTGTAATGGTACACGAATGCCTTTTTCAAAGGCAATTGCTTGTGACTAACGTAAATTTGCCCACTGATTCTGAATGTGAGCTTTTTGAAAAGATTGAAGTGTTTACACATTACACACTGTGAAGACTAACTAACTGGGCTATTGAGGAGAGAGTAATAAAAATATAAATTGAAGAGAATACTTCTCTGTGCTTTCTGCAAGGCACCATAAGCCTCACAGTAAACATTCAAGTTAAATTGAATGATGGTGTTTCTATGTTTAAATTCCATAAACTATCATATGCCAGAAGTCGAAAAGAGTGAAACAGTTGATAGTTTTTGTAATGTACATTTATGACAGGTTTGTTAAAAGGTAAAATGCTTAAGTGCTATGAAAAATATTTTAGACTAAACAATTTATGTTATCATTCTTGGTTCATTAATTTATAAAATCATTTATTGTAGTGCATATTTTTTTCATTTGGAAAAGGGATTTATTTTCAGGGTCTGCCATCACTTTTACAAGTATGTCTATCATTTTCCTGCTTGGCTTTAGAAACTTTAACTTTTAAGTTAAGTTAACTTGATTCCACAGACGACTTTCCCTCCTCTTTCCTCTTTCCTCTTTCCTCTTTCCTCTTTCCTCTTTTTTTTTTTTTTTGGCAGAGTGGATGAAAGCAAAATAAAACCTTTCCCTTAGATTTAACTGTTCTTTGTCCATGTCAATTCCTCCAAGTCTCTTTAAAACTAAAAAGCCCTCTGTAACCTAAGACTCATCATCTGATTATAGCATTAACTTTCTTCTGGGTTTTAATCCTGCTCTGGAGTCATCCTTGCTTAATTTTGAGTACCAAAAAATGAATTTCTATATATTATTTGAAAGTTAGTTTTTCTAGAAGGATTGTCAGAAAAACTGGTGAAAAAGAGGAAATTTATGTTCCAGTGGATATCCAGAAGAAGGAGGAATAAATTATTTTTTAGATTACATTGATAAATTGTAACCAACAGAAAAATTGATGTTTAATCTCTTAACTGGTTATTGGGAGAATAACTTAAACTGGCTCTTTAGAGGGTCATTTCTGTTGGGCACAATGGATTAAGGAAAAAAGGTTTGTCTTTGGAGATATGAGAGTGACTAATTTGAAGGATATGTTTTATAGCCCCATGTTGTTTTGAAATATCTTTCCTCTTCATTTATCTAGAGTATGCGAAGTTACTAACAGCTGTTTAAAATCATCTAGGTGGTGGTGCTGGCTCTGATGACTGTGGAGCTGTTTGGCATGATGGGTCTAATTGGAATAAAGCTGAGTGCAGTGCCTGTGGTTATCCTGATTGCTTCTGTTGGCATTGGTGTGGAATTCACTGTTCATGTTGCTTTGGTATGTAAAACTAGGAAGCATTTCCAAAGTATTTCAAAAGTATTTTAAAATAAAATGAAGACTAAAGGTATGATCGTGAATCCTCACTTAAATTCCTAAGTCAGTGACAGGATTCTCAGAAGAGAATTGGTCATAAATCTTGAGAGGAGCGTTTGGGGTGGGGAATATCTTTGAATGTTCTATGTAAAAGTTTTCAACCTTGTCAGAGTTAGATATCCAAATCTAGTGTGCACCAAATCACCCAGCTTAGTCAACCTGATGTACAGAAGTGTGGAGCAATGGCACTTCTCTTGCAAGGAGGTTCTCAAGACATGCACAGCTCATTCTGCTTTATTTGATGGCAAAAATGGAATAAAGGGCTATTTTTCTGTGTTCACATTTGACAATGGTCATGCCGATCTTTCATATTCTTTCATATAGTTGGACAAGGAGAAGACAAATTCATAAGAATCAGCACTTTGAGTGTTGATACAGTTTGTTGACTAAGGAGTTATGGGGAGAGACAGACATTTCACAAATTGTATTGATGCTCAGGCAGTATTGTGTTCAGCACTATACCTAAGGCAATTTTATATATAGGGCTGCTAGCTTTTAAGTACGAAAAGTTACAAAAAAATGCATGTTGACTGAAATAGAAACATTAAAAAAATGCAGCACAATCTGGTAGTGTTACTTTATACTGATCCTGTTGAATTCACTGCAACTTTCCATCAACTGGGTGCTTAATAGGTACAATACCTGAAGGGCAAAGAGGTCCAGGAAGGTGGGACTTTTCTCAAGAAGGAAATCTCAAAGGCACAGGAGCAGGCCGTGCCCGTGTGCCAAAAGACGAGCTGGAGGGGAAGAAGACCGGCCTGGCTGAATAGGGAACTATCACTGAGACTCCGGGATAAAAAGAGAGTCTCAAAGGGATCTGGACAGGCTGGATCGATGGGCTGAAGCCAACCGTATGAGTTTGGATGGAACTCAATCTGGCTGCCGCTGTAAAAGACAACAAAAAATGTTTCTACAAATACATTAACAAGAAGAAGAGGCCCAAGGAGAATCTCCATCCTTTATTGGATGCAACAGTGAATATTGCCACCAAGGATGAGGTTAAGGCTGAGGTACTTAATGCCTCCTTTGCCTCAGTCTTGAACACCCAGAACAGTTATCCTCAAGGTACTTGGCCCCCACAGATGGAAGACACCTATAGAATGCAGAATAACCTCCCCCTAAATCCAGGAGGAAACAGACAGTGACCTGCTACTCCACTTGGACACCCACAAGTCTATGGGGCCAGATGGGATCCCCCGAGGGTTGTGAGGGAGCTGGCGGAAGTGCTCACCAAGCCATGTTCCATCATCTATCAGCGGTCCTGGTCAACAGGGGAGGTCCCATATGACTGGAGACCAGCCAATGTGACGCCCATGTACAAGAAGGGTTAAATGGAGGATCCGGGGAACTACAGGCCTGTCAGTCTGACCTCGGTATCGGGGAAAGCTATGGAGCAGATCATCTTGAGGGCGATCACACAGCATGTGCGTGACAACCAGGGGACCAGGCACAGTCAACATGGGATCATGAAAGGCAGGTCTTGCCTGACCAAACTGATCTCCTTCTATGACCAGGTGACCCGCCTAGTGGATGCGGGAAAGGCTGCAGACGTGGTCTACTTGGACTTCAGTAAGGCCTTTGACAGTCTCCCACTGCGTTCTCTTGGAGAAGCTGGCAGCTTATGGCTTAGACAGGTGTACTCTTCACTGGGTGAAGAACTGACTGGATGGCTTGGCCTGGAGAGTGGTGGTGAATGGAGGTAAATCCAGCTGGCGACCGATCACAAGCTGTGTTCCCCAGGGGTTAGTGTTGGGGCCAGTACTCTAATATCTTCATCAATAATCTGCATGAGTACATTGAGTGCATCCTCGACAAACAACCCTGTGCAATGCTACAGGCTTGGGGCAGCGTGGCTGGAGAGCTGCACGGCAGAGAAGGATCTGGGAATGTTGGTTAACAGCCAGCCGAACATGAGCCAGCAGTGTGCCCAGGTGGCCAAGAAGGCCAATGGCCTCCTGGCTTGTATCAGGAACAGTGTAGCCAGCAGGACCAGGGAAGTGATCATCCCCCTGTACTCGGCCCTGGTGAGGCCGCACCTCGAATACTTGTGTTCAGTTTTGGGCCCCTCACTACAAGAAGGACATGGAGGTGCTGGAGCGTGTCCGAAGAAGGGCAACGAAGCTGGTGAAGGGGCTGAAGCACAGACCTTATGAGGAGCAGCTGAGGGAGCTGGGGTTATTTAGGCTGGAGAAGAGGAGGCTCAGGGGAGACCTTATTACTCTCTACAACTACCTGGAAGAAGGTTGTAGTGAGGCGGGGGTTGATCTCTTCTCCAGAATATCTACAGATAGGACAAGAGGAAATGGCCTCAAGTTGCACCAGGGGATGTTCACGTTAGACATTAGGAAGAATTTCTACATGGAAAGAGTAGTGAAGCATTGGAACAGGTTGCCCAAGGAAGTGGTGGAGTCACCATCCCTGGCAGTGTTCAAGAAACGTGTAGATGAGGCGCTTATGGACATGATTTAGTAGGCATGGTGGTGATTGGTTTACAGTTGGACTTGATGCTCTTAAAGGTCTTTTCCAACCATAATGATTCTATGATTGTCTTGTGTTTAAATCTAGCTAGCTGTATGGATACTTTAATAAAATATAAATTGGAGTAATTAACTAATTCAAAATGTTTATGTTATGAGAGATTCTGTTTGAAAGGCTGTGTGTATCTAATTACATGTTTTTCATTGTTTTATAGGCATTTTTAACTGCCGTAGGAGACAAGAACCTAAGGGCTATCCTTGCACTGGAGCATATGTTTGCACCAGTGTTGGATGGAGCTGTGTCAACTCTGCTTGGAGTGCTCATGCTTGCAGGATCGGAGTTTGATTTTATTGTCAGGTAAAGCATTTGAGTGTCTTGACTTTCTTTTTTAGAATAAAAATAACTATACTTTTAATATTTAGTAATTTCAGTGTATCTGTCATTTTATTACTATGTATGGTATGTCAAGCATGCTTACATCATGGTCCTGCTTTCCATCTTTTTTATTGACTACTTGTTACGTGATAGACTTATTAGTGTTTCCATTGCTGGCCTTAAAATCTGTTCCAGGAAAATTTCGCCCCTAGCATGGAAGGAAACAAAAGCAGGTCTATTTAGAGAGGTTTACTAATTCTGGATTTAAGTCAGCTTGAAGCAGCTGGCATTGTCCAATATTGGCTGGATTGACCTTTAACTTTAAGGTCTTTCTTTCTTATATGCACAACATTTTGCAAGGAAAGAACACAGGGAGCTACAAATATGCTACAACTGACACCCTCTGGGCCTCCTTCTGCTATCTATATGAGGCTTTTTTAATGAGCAATTTATAAGTGGGCGAGGAAAAAAACACTTTTTGGGGATAGGGAGCCATAAGTATGAACACAGAATTTTGTATTAAAATTTTGTAAAGCAAAATGAATTTAATTAAGAATGTAAATGTCAAGTGTGAGAGGAGAGCAAGTTTTTATTTTGAGAGGAATTTCAGAAGTGATTACTTAAGTAAATTAAGTACTTAAATAGACATAAGCTGGGTAGATGACCAGGCTTAGATGACATCCATTTGATAAAAACAATAAAATGTCAGAGGCAGGAACTGAGAGAATGGCTGCTAAATCTCATCAGGATTTTTTTGTTTCTGTCTGAGACTTGCAGAAGGCTGGGAGTAGAAACATTTGCAGTTAGGCCTAAATACATTAAACCTGCATGAGGTTTATTACTATACTTTACAATGCTTTGTGTGCCCTGAAATAGAATTTGTATTTCTTTTTAAGGTCAGTATATCTTATTTTATTGGTGGTAAAGAAGCGAGCTGGAATTATTCTTTTAGGTGATGTGTAGGTTCTTGATAGATTAGCTGTAGATTTAACACAAATTTAAAGGGATATATTTGCTGTGGTACTTTCCTATTTAACAGATGAGATTTTTGGCAATCATATTTTTGTGTCATAGCAAATGGAAGTCTGTAGAAGTCCTTTGCAAATTTGAATTGGATGTTCACATATTATATAAAATGAGCCTTTCAACTTCTGTTATTTTACTTTCTTTTCTTGGTTTTCTAGCACAAGGTGACTTTAGTTTGCTTTGTTTATAAAATCAAATAAAACAAACTTTCAGAGCCCAAGTGGGTGAAGAGACCCCAAACTTCCAGAAAGGAATAGATTAGTCCAACAATGTGGAAGATTAAGTAAATTAGCACGCATTGTATGCACCAAGTAGTCAGAGCTATAATCCTCCTATTTATCCCGGTGTTAGATGGATGAGATGAAAATGTTTTTAATACCTGTTGTTCTCTGTCACAGTATAAAGTTCTGCAGGTTTATGTTAGTGGAGTAGATTGGTTACCTGATTTTTGCTGCTGCAGATCAGAAATCCCAAAATGTTTACACTAGTAGGATATTTGTAGTTTTACAGGAGGCTGACATATTTGATCAGATGGGGAACCACAGAGGCAGTAAATTTTGCTGCCAGATAGACAATGTAATCAGTAGAGCCATTATCAGCAAACTTGCCCTCAGTTCTCCTGCCCCTTCTCTGCTAGGAATTTACCCAAGACCAAGTCCAAGGCTTTCCTTTATTGACGGGTTTACCTTGTTATTCATGAAGGATCCCAGACCTTAGCCCTATATGGTGGGAAAGGACACCCACTTATGCACTTTCCTCTTCTTCCATAGTCCTTCAGCCTTTATGTTTGAATTAGCTGATGCAAAACAAGAGTATTCAGAGATGCTAAATTGTTCAACAAAAGGTTAGCCTGCAAGGTAGCTCTGCCATTGTGGAGCACGCTTACCCAGTACAAAGCTGAAACTCGCTATAGAATGGACAGCATTTTCTTTGTGGAAAGCTGGTTCCTGTGTTGTAAAAAGATCACAATTGGAGCTCTTTGGTAAAACTGGAGCTCTCAGAATTCTAGGCACAAAGTTGTGATTCAGCAAGGGAAAGCCTTCCTGATACACTAGAGATTTAATTAGAGATTATGCTGTAAGATGCAGAAGCATTTCACAGTGGATTAGCTGCTGGGAGAAGTCAGCTTCTTTCCTTCTAGGCTAAATTGTTCAAATTCTACACCCTTCATTTGTTTTGTGTCTGATGGGTTTTCATTAATGGGGGCCCTTGTTCATTGTATTTGTGCTTTCAATCCATTCATCCATTCACTGCATATTCCATATTTTTTCTGTTTAATACATTCATAAATAACATTACATGCTGCCAGATTAAGGTAGATTAACAAACATTTTTTTTCTTTCCTTTATCAACTTAACATTTTGGGTTGTGGAATGTAGTTTCTCTAATCCAAAAGGTAAAAAGCTATATCTATATATAGAAAGTGATATTGTTTAGTACAATATTAGTAATATTTGAGATTTAATTTAGTGTATGTACTATTTTAATATTAACATATTTAGCAACAGTAGGTAATCCCTTATTTCTAACAATATTTGTGGCTGCTCTTCTTTCTCCCCTACCCTTAAACCCTACTTCAGGTATTTCTTTGCTGTTTTGGCAATTTTAACCATTTTGGGAGTTCTCAATGGCCTGGTACTGCTTCCTGTTCTTCTTTCACTCTTTGGACCATACCCTGAGGTCAGTAAAACTAATGGTGAACAGAGGAAATAATATTCTCTCCCTACAGCCCTTTTTCTAGAAATGTTTTTTAAATTCTCTCTGTATTTTTTTATTTTTTAAGCTTCTTGCTCTGTTTTTATTTTAAAACTTTATTACATAATGTGATGCTCTTTATTCAGATTTTTTAACAACTGAAAATATGTTTTTAGTAGTACTTACTTAAAACATGTTTTAAAACTGTTTTAAAATTTGCAATCAGCAAGCTAGATACAAATGTAGGATTAGGTAAGCTTTTAAAAGAAAAACGTGATATACATACTAGTCTGTAAAATCAGGCTTTTCCCTGACATTTTGCAAAAGACGGTTTCTTTTGTATACAGACACAGACACACACACACCTTCTCGTCTCCCACCCCACTGCCTCTATTGCTTTCCTTAAAATATTTAACTCAGCAGACTGCCAGGGAGGCCTGTGTGGACCAACATACACCAGTGGTGGTCCATGGACCACACCTGGATAACCAGGACCATGGGTCTGCCCGAGGGTTCTTGGTCCTGGCACCCCTCCCTGCAACACCCTTTTGGCTCAAGTAAAGATCTTAGTGGGAAGAGGGCTCCACTTGGATGTTGAGGACATGTCATTACAAAGCCCAAGTCCAGTAAAAAAAAGGATTCATAACTATCAATCAAATTTGTATTTGATTGTTCATTATCTGCCCTATAGTTAATATGATTATTCTTATGTAGGGATATCTTTATTCTGCTTTATGAGAAGGCAGTAATGCAGTAATGGTATGCTGCATCTGTCTATATGTGCATATATATATAAAAAATAAAACACAGGGTATGTCTACAGTGCTATTAATATTTGAGATGTATTATTTTGTTTTTATAGCATTAGTAAAGCAGTTTTGACAACAGTGCATTAACTGTCATGTTTCTAACAGTGTACATGGTTGTTGCTTATTTGAACAATATATATGTTCCTATTTAATTATTATGTATGTTTCCATTATGTGCATATCCATCTCTCTTTGCATAGGGAGAGGCAAACCCAGGAATTATCTGTATATTTATAAGCACAATTGCACATATGCACACACATACATGTGCTTGCTGAGACAATGATACATAGAGGAAGCTGTATTTACACATACCTCCACAGATGGAGATAATATCTCTTTTTCTTTCATACATTTTTCAGTGTAATACTAATCTTGATCAGAAAACCAGTGCTAAAGCTCCCATGGCTCAGAAAGGTGTATTTGACAGAAGAATACTTGTATCAAGTGCTAATAATTATAAGGGTAATACTAACTGAATGCTGTTGAATGCTAATACTTCTAATTGTATTTGCTCTTATCAGATTTCTCGAGCTAGTGGACAAAACAGATTACTCATGCCATCTCCTGAGCTGCCCCCAGACATCATCAGGTTTGTACTTCCACCTAGGCATACAAACAACGGGTCAGATTCCTCTGATTCAGAATACAGCTCTCAAACCACAGTGTCAGGCATCAGTGAAGAGCTCCATCAGTATGAGGCCACCCAAGGTCCTGGGGCACCAGTCCATCAAGTAATAGTGGAAGCCACTGAGAATCCTGTCTTTCCAAGATCCACTGTAAGTAGCTCACATATTGTCTGGAGAGAGGGTGAGAAAAGTGGGGATTTCTATTTACATCTATTTCTGTGGGAAAGCTGTAATATTTCTTTTATGTTTCTGTCTGATTATGTTTTATAACTCTCTAATACAAGTAGCTAAAATTTCAAGTACTCATAAAGCACAAAGGCTTTCATCACTGTCTCCTCTGGAATCAAGTTGTGGATAAAAAGATGGTACCAAAGCAGAGGTCTTTAGCATGTGTAATTGCTATTTTATCATATTGGCACCAGCCACAAGAGAGAGCTCTCAGTCTGCTTCATTACTATTCTGGGAAACCTGGTGGAAAGAGAGGAGGGAGAGATTAAAAGTTCCATCCTCTTCCATGCAGCACCTGTGGGTCACCTCCTCCCTGTATCTCTTCTCTGGCAGCACATTGTTGGGGAGAAAGATTGATAGAGCCCAGACAAAAAGAAGATTCAGGGTTAGAATTTCAGGGTTGTACCTATTTTGGGGTCTGTTGCATCTTGCTACTGGGTTGGTGTAACTGTGATTTCAAAGGAAAGTGAAAAAGCCTCCCCTACCTTCTGTGATGCTACATGCTAAGCTGCAATGCAGATCTGTTTTTGTTCAGCAGAGGCCTAAAAATAGGTACAAACACAGCCACATTTGAAGTTGGTCACAGTTTATTGACTGATGTGCCTGCTGTGTTTCATGCTTTTTATAGAAATACAGAAAACATTCCTACAGTCTACATGAACTATTCTGCTAACATCCTGTATGGAGTAGAGGCTTTGCAAATGCCTGCATTTCTGCTTGTTGAACCAGTTAAGATCAACTGCTTGCTTTCCATCTCTTTCAAGATGGAGCACTCTGCAGGAAGCATATATAATATTTTCAGCTATAGTCCTGTGTTTATCTGAAGTTATGCTTTCTAGGTTATAACAACCTAAGACAGAAACTGTCTGGAAAAAGAACAGGTTTAAGACTCCAGAACACTAGCTTTATAGCATTAGAACCATGACAGTACCACTATAAATGTTATTCTTGGCATAAAATATAGAAGAGCATAATATTATTTGCTCTGCTTTGTCAGAGGCATGACCCTGCATCTCCCTTTCAGATGGTTGAGAGAGAGACAAGGCACCAGTTGAGTTCTAGACTGCAATCAAATCCAGAGGGTGGCACCCATCAGGCCTGGCTTCAGGGCAGACACCCCAAACAGGAATCCAGGGAAGTACATCGACCACCTCCATATGGCCCTCAAAAGGATGATTTTGAAATTTCCACTGAAGGGCATTCAGGACCTAACAATAGGGATCACTTGGGCCACTGGGCTTGTTCTCACAATGTGAGAAACCCAGTGTTAGGTGCTGTGGATGCCTCAGAACTGGCAAGCAGTCAGCTTATCACTACTGTGACTGCCTCAGCTTCAGTGACTGTTTCTGTCTGCCCTGCCATGCACAGCCACAGCTCTCAGGGAGGGAGCTTCCTATCCTACGAAAGGTACCATGAAGCTGACCATGGGCCATTTGAGGACCCCCACATGCCTTTTAAGGTGTGGTATGAAAGAAGAAATTCTAAAATAGAAGTTATAGAACTGCAAGATGTTGAATGTGAAGAAAGGATACCTGGCAACAGCTCAGAGTAAGGTAGGTCTGTCTCCTGCAGTCAGTAGCTTTGGCCATCTCAGGCAATGGTATCACAGAATCACAGGATGTTTGTGGTGTGATCAAAAGAAAGAGGAAAAATGAGAACTCTCTGAAGTGCCTTTTCTTCAGGTCGGCTTACTTTTCAGTCCCTGATCATCTGAAATCTGCTGGCAGTTTGCATTAGAAATTAGATTGGATAAGATAGTACTTGACCCACAATATCTTCCTACTGTACTACTGTACAAACATGAACTTTGGTGGTGTGGCACCGCCCCAGCAACCCACCCAGGGAGCTCCCAGGGTGGAGGGATCCTTGGGCCAAGCCCTCTGTTTTGTCAGGAGAAGCTGCAGTGGCCACCACAGATTTGTCTGGGTCTGAGCTGGTCTAGCAGGACACCTGATCTGTTCCTGTGAAATAATATTCTGCTGGTTCACCCAAGAATTTGTGTGACTTGAAACGTAAATCATGATCTATCCTTGGGCTAGCAAGAGAGAGTTGCAGGAAGTAGCATTGTTCAGAACAGACAGGATACTTTAGAAGATGTTTGGGGATCAATAAAGCTCTTTATTTTCTTCAACATTTCTATTAAGTTTATAGGGATTACTTTGAAGGGGAGGAACAAACTGAGGTTTTACCCCCAAAACTTTTGGAGGGTTGTAGTTGGAAAACAACTTCTCACCAGTTTAGCTCTTTTTTTTTTTTCTTCCTCATTTGGGGGAAGAAAAAAAGTAAAAACAATGTTTTAAAGAAAAAAAAAGTATTAAATCCTTACTTGAGCTCTTGGTCCCTGTTTTCTTTCTTTACTTTACTTTGCTTTTCAGTGACAGACACTAGTTTGACCAAAGAAAACCATTTTATTTTGGTTGTAGAAATATTTTGTATTATACATATGCACACACACATGCACAGATTTTTGATGGAAACTTTTTTAATAACTCCTGATAAAAATCACCTTCTGATTTATAAAACTTCTCTGCAAATATCTCAAAGTGCAAATACATATGAATGCATTTATTCTTTCAGTCTAGGAATATGGTAAGTAATAATATCCTCAGAATAAGGAAATATTCAGACTCAGAATTTCCAAACTGAACAGCAGGCTCTTATCTTAACTGTGCCATGCAGCTTCTTTCTCTTTGAAGGGCCCATTGGATTTGATTAATTTTGTGGCAAGTATCTAAAGCTGGGCATTTAGAAATCAAGGCTTCTATGCTTTTTTTTTTTTAATTGGTGACAAGATCTCTTTATCAGGAAGTCCATGACTGAGATGGAAAAAGAGCCCACATTTCCTGACTGCTAACTGTAACCATAATAATCATGAAAAGAGTTTTGAATTAGTTTGATTTGTTTTTCTTGAACTTCAATGAATGATTGTTTTTATTTTAATTTATAAAGGGTAATAACTGAAGTAAATAAGAGGCCAAAGATGGAAAACTCTATTTCCAAAACTGCTTGAAGTTGTGGAAAAGGACATGGTGCATCAGGACAACAGTTCATTGTTACTGTAACCTATTGTATTATTTTGTTAAATATTTCTATACATATTTAAAAGATGTACACACATGTAATATACAAAAAAACAATGTAAAGTAGTATAATCTGGAGTCATTTGCCTCCAGTTAGAGTGGGGACAATATTTTTTGTGCTCTGTACTTATTGTACAATGATCTGTGCCACAGCTAAGCTTAATCTAGTTCTAAATTTCAGCATAAATTGCCGCTGCTTAAATGTTGTATAATTTACTTGTATAATTCTATGCAAATATTGCTTATATAATAGAATTTTTGGTTTTGTAAAGGTACATGTCTGTTTAAAATATTTTAAATTTGCATATCACAACCCTGTGATAGTATGAAATGTTACTGTTAACTTTCGAACACACTATGCGTGATAATTTTTTTTTTAAATAAGCAGATATGAAGAAAAGCACATTAATCTTGGAGGCTTAAATAAGTTTAGCTATGTGTAGGTTTTGTTTTGCTGTGTGTATCCATGTGTGTATCTGGAAGTGTGCATGTTTGTGTGCGTATGTTCCCGCTGTACTGTAGTTTATCTCTTTTACTGTATGGTAACTCTTAGCGGGCTTAGAAACCTGCTGATGTTGGTGCAAGTCTGGCTTTCCCTGTTAGTAGGCACTAGTGAAAACTGCATTGGTGACTGTCAATACATACCATAGACTGCCATCATCACAGGGCTAAGACAAGATAGGGGTTGTGGTTCAGTTTCCTGTTCTATTAATGACTTGGTATACATTGACTTTGGTCAAGTCACTTAACTGCCCTGTGCCTCAGTTTCTCAATCTGTAAAATTGATATAATATCTACCTCCCAGAAGAGTTGTGAGGCTTAATTATCGTTTGTGAAGTGCTTTGATATTTTCTGTAAAAGGTGCCAGGTAAGTGCAAACACTATAACCATTCTTTTTTTCCCCTTCAAAAGGTGCTGGATATTGAGAGGTGCTGGTGGTTATAGAAATTCAGTGAGCATATGCCTTATTTTGATGTTTATTCTGTTAATTATGAGTGGCATTACAAGCTGAATAATCCACTTGTTTCATGGTGAACCACAGCTCATCTGTGTCCCTATATCATTCAAAATAGTATCCTCTGTCACCTTATTTTCATGGCAGGAAGGAAGTTAATAGTAAGTGATAAAAATCAAATGAAAGGATGAAAAATATGTAAAAATCTTCCATTTTTCATTGATTAAATATAAATGAATTTCTGTTGGTTCCAGAACTGTAATGAATGACACATAAGGCCTGGAGTGGATTTTTTTAACCCTCTTTTTTTTTTCTTGCAATGCTGCATTGGCACTTTTAAATAAAACAGCTAAACTGGGATCCCTTTGAGAAACTAAATTATTAATATTATTATTAAACTAAAGATGGATTGTTGCAGGTAAAGGGCCTGAAAAAAATACAATCTCTATGTTCCAGTTGGAATCAGATCATAAGAATACCTTAATTGAAAATACCTAGAACAAAAGTTCTCATTATATCTCTCTCCATCTTTTTTCTGCCCTTCTCCAAGATGTTTTTCAGAGCGTGTGAATGTTCAAGTATGTATTCAGAGCCAAACAAAAACAACCAATACTCAGTTTCTAAGCACAACACTGGTGGAATTTTTCTTTAAATATGACATCTGAACAGCAGCAGATGATTTTTTTTTTTTTAAAGGTAAAGCATTTTTCTCCAGTGACTGCAGGGAGTCTCTCTGTCCACAGACCTTCCCAGCACAGTGAATAACTAGAATTCACAAATTCTTGTGCTTTTTTTTTCCCTCACTTGAAAACACTTTGATACAAGGCACTTGTTTAAAGATCTCCAGCGTGAACACTCACAAAGCAGGTAAGAGCCTGACATTGTTCCTGTGATACATAAGCTATTGTTTCAAAGCACACTAAGGGTTAATGTTGCGACTGCCTACTGGTCCAGTTCACTGTCTTAACATGACATTTCTTAATGATGAGGGACCCCAATTTAGCACTGACCTCAGATCAGAAAAGCTCTGCAACAAAACTGTATGATCCTAATTAGAAGCTACCTTCAACTGCCAAGTATGTGTGCTCTTGAGTCAGGGGATGGCAGGGCTCCCACCAACACCGCCAGCACTGTGCTCACTCCCTCCTCTTCCTCAGAGACAGCAGCTGGCAGCATGGGAAAAGAAGAGCCATGAGGCCTCCTGGCTGCTCTAGCCCCCTCCCTTGCTCTGTGTGTCTGTGTGTGTCTGAGCTGCCTGCTGCTTTGTACACCATGTAGACCTTCTGCAATAGTCACATTGGCAAAGGGAGAACTCAGTGGCTGGCAACTTTTCTTTATTATTGTTGTTATTATTTTTAATCATGGGTGATATTTATCTTTGTATCATAAGAATGTTTTCTTACAGTATTTGTCATGCCAGTTTATAACAAACAAAATGCAGGGATTTAATTTCTATTAGAAACACTATTACATCTATGTTTTTACTTTTTGATGAATTTTTATTTGTATAGAGTGTTTACTAATGTTAAATAGGAAAGAGTATATAACATTTGCATTACTCGTCATAGCTTTTAGCATAAGGAGTTAAAAGGAAAAAACATATTCAAACTGGGTCTCATTGCCTGCCTATTTTGCTAGGAGTGAGTTTGTGTCATTTCAGTTACAAAGATAAAATTATGTCATATAATTTATTTATATGAAAATTTATTTTTGTAGTATACATAGTAGTCATCAAGTCTTTTGACAGAAGTTTATTTTTAAAGAGTTTATATGTAATGATGACACCATTATGCTTTGGAACACTGCTGAGATGTGATTACAGTGCACATGTTTCCTTGTAAACCCCCGGCAGAAAATAAAGTGTTTAACAGTGTTAAAAGAGAAAGAGAGTGTGAATATTCATCCAATTTTGGTCTATGTTTTAGTTACCCTTTGTGATTTAGTGTGGTTCTCATTTTAAACCCTGAATGAAAATTGTACAAACTCTCTAAATATTAATGTTCAAACACTGATAGGAATTCTAACATGAATAAAGAATATTATAACTTATTAGTTATGGATTTGGTTGTTTCTAGAATGCCTTTTTGATGTAGTGGTCAACTATGCACATGCAATCATACAATTATATTGATTTCTAGGGAGGGAGTCACAATCATCCCTCAGAGCCCGCTCTGTATTATCATCGTCTGCTACGTACTGTTGTCAAATAGTTATTGGATCACATGTCCATTTGCGCTTTTACAGCCAAAGCTGAGCCAAAATCCAACTTGAAACATCAGTCTTGCATCTGAACTGCAGATTTATGCAGTTCAGCAAACTCAGCTTACTACCCTACAACAGCTTTTTGCAGGAACACCTCCATCCCTGTTTTAACAGCTGTAACTCCATAGACAAGTTACTAGTGTTGATGTGGCCATGGCAGCTGTACCTGCTCAGCCTTCATGCAAGGCAAGGCTGCACTGGAGAAGGGTGCATCTGCCTTAACTGTTTTCCTATAACTTGCTTAAAGGAGTTGTGAGCACGTAGCAGCCTGGATTTCAACTCTGAAAAGAGGGAGAGCTTCCAGTGTTTCATTTAGGGAACCCAGAATAATATTTCTATCATATTTTAAAGCCTGGGTAAGGAGACTGATTTTTTTCTTTCTTCCCTGTTTCAGGTTGAATCCAGTTTAGCAACTCTGGGGGTTTTATTTCTGAACTTCGTATTGGGGATTAGGTTGCACTGCTGGTATGCATCAGTGGCAGGGCTGCATAGGGCAGCCTCCTGTGATAACAGTTGCTTATTGAAAGTATATTTGACTTCATAGGGCACCGAACATAGCTGATGAATTACCTTTAAGAGGAGATGAATTTAAGCTAATAAACTTGAGGTTAATATAACAATTTTCCAGTTAGCAAATGTATAGCTCACCTGTACTTATAGTTTACCTCTAAGAGCTAAACAGGTTATTTGTCCTTATTAAACAAGGGAGCGGATATTTTGTTAGTCATTAAGACCTAGACTTGCATGCCTTATATCAATAGAACAACTGAAAGCAAGTAGGACACTCATAATTTTCATTCACAATAATTAGCAAACATGGTGTGTGTGGGGTAAAATGTATAGCTCACCTGTACTTATAGTTTACCTCTAAGAGCTAAACAGGTTATTTGTCCTTATTAAACAAGGGAGCGGATATTTTGTTAGTCATTAAGACCTAGACTTGCATGCCTTATATCAATAGAACAACTGAAAGCAAGTAGGACACTCATAATTTTCATTCACAATAATTAGCAAACATGGTGTGTGTGGGGTATGGGATATGTGTGGAAGGGGGTGGCTTGTGTGTGAGAGGGGGGGTGGGGTGGGGATGTGGGGGGGTGTGGTGTATGGGCCTGTGTGTGGCTGTGGTGGGGGGGGGGGAATGTGTGAGGGTGTGTGCGTTATGAGAAGCTCCAGACAAGAATTGCACCCAAGGACATAATTTTCATTGCTGTTGCTGGTACATCATGAGAGAGTACGGACAAAACAGCAAACACAGGTTGAAGACGAAGATAAGAACCACTGTATCTTCAAAGGGACAGAGGGCGCATGCATGCAAAGGTGGGGTATAGAATCATTACGGTTGGAAAAGACCTTCAAGATCATCAAGTCCAACCGTAAACCGTTCAACACTACATCTGCTAAACCATGTCCATAAGCGCCTTATCTACATGTTTCTTGAACACTGCCAGGGACGGTGACTCCACCACTTCCCTGGGCAGCCTGTTCCAATGCTTCACTACTCTTTCCGTGTAGAAATTCTTCCTAATGTCTAACCTGAACCTCTCCTGGCGCAACTTGAGACCATTTCCTCCTGTCCTATCAGTAGTTATTCTGGAGAAGAGATCGACCTCTGCCTCACTACAACCTCCTTTCAGGTAGTTGTAGAGAGCAATAAGGTCTCCCCTGATCCTCCTCTTCTCCAGCCTAAATAACCCCAGCTCCCTCAGCCACTCCTTATACACACAAACCCCAGATACCACCCAGCACACACCCCACACCCCACACCACACACACATTTACACATGCACACACATCTCCACACCCCCTCCCATAGACACACACCCACCCCTCACCACCTCTACCACACTCACACACACATTTCCACACATATCCTCCACATGTCACTGAAAATGGGAATAAACCTCTTAACATCAATGTAGTATTATGAAGCAGTCATTCACTTTACTGCAGCCCTGGATGCATGGAGGATAGCGCCACCTATAGTGCATAACCTAAGTTGCATTTACCAAAGCTTTTATTTCTCTATGATCTACATATACGTTAAATTCCTGGAATGATCATACATATTCATTCTATTTCCTAGAACTAATTACAATATACCCTGTACTATCTTCTCCTGTACTCAGCACTCGTGAGGCTGCACCTTGAATACTG